CAAGACTTTAAAAATTTGACTAACATATTTTAAATCTTTCCTTATATAAGGTATTTATAAACTATACTTTTTGTTTTTAAGCAATGTGGGATCTAGGCATTTTCTTATATAGAGTATTAATAAACTTTACTTTTTATTTTTAGGTGATGTGAAATTTTTTTATTCTAAAATTTTACTTATATACCAATAGAATTATAAAATATCTATCAAATAAAAACAAAAAAGAACTCATTCAAGTAAACATAAAAAATAATATACTACATACTTTATCAAAATTATGGTTATCAATTTATTTTAAACAATAAAAGTTGATTTTTATTAATATTTGGAGTACAAGAGGTACTCCAAAACTCTAACAATCATATCACTTCCAAATATATATGTATAACACAAGATTATTCCTAGTTAAGCACAATGATCATACATAAGCAAATCATTTGACCTCTTTGGATTTGTAATGGATCACATGATGGGGTAGATGTGTTGTCGTCTATTCCACTTCCCAATTCCCACCCTTCTCTCACCCTCTTATTTATCTTGCCTCACCCTCTTATTTAAACTATCCAAAACTCTTAAATTTACTTGCAATTTTATAGGGAGATTCAAATTCTCAAATTGCCATATAGGAGTGGGCTCTTACTTGCTTTCTAGTGTTCTCAACCTAGAACAACCTTGAAAAACCCTCCTAAAATCCAATAATGTAAAAATTACAATAGTCCACAAGAACCAAAGCTAAGAGGTTGACTATTGATTTAGAGCTTACCTTAAACTACTCTGTAAGTTTGGAATTCACATGTTGTTTTTATTAGTTATTGTTTTTTTTTTTTTAACTAGTGCACTTAAGGACACTTTTTGATCATAAATATGTACAAAAAATATATAAATTGACATTAATTTTAGAGTTGTTATGACAGATAAATTTAATTAGACAATTAATATTTACTATCTACTATTTGTTATCAATTAACTGTCACTTGCTAAATAGTGCATTATCAACTTTTAGTAACTAACTGCCCACTATTCATTAAATTTTAACTATCATAGAAGTGAGCCTTATATAAGTACTCCCTTCGATCTTTTTAAGTTGTCTCAATCCATCAATTTTATATAAATTAAATTAACAATTTTATATAGAAAATGAATGAAAATTGATATAACTTTTTGGATTTGAATGAAAATACTCAACAAAAATTATGTATAAAAAGAAAAAAATTTAATTATTTTTTTATTTTGAATTTGTTCAAAATTAATTGTTAATTTTTTATTTTTAAAAGTAGATAAATATTTTTTTATTTTAACTCTATCATTATCCTATTTTAATGAATCATTATATCACAAAAAAGTCTTTATTTATTTTTTCAAAAATAGTATACGTAAATACATAAATTACCCTTAAATTCTTACTCACTAAAATAATAAATATTTTTTATTTAGAATTTGTTACAAAATAATAATCATTTTTTCATATTTTAAATGAAACAAATATTTTTATATTTTAACCTTATTTATTTTAACCTTATCTCAATATTAAAAAAAAATCTCTTTATTTTTACTTTTTAAGAGTAATATAAGTAAAAATACAAATTATTCCTAAATTTTTAATATGAAGATAAAATTAAAACATTTTATTTTGATAGAGAGCAATATTTTGTTTGTTTTTCACGTTGTCCCTGTCAATAACACATACAGGCATCTCTAGCAGGGTCTCTTACACCCGTTGCAGACGTCTACAATAAAAGATTATCCATTGGAGGGAATCTCCTATGGTGTAAGAGACCGGTACTCTTGCAAGAGCTACTCTCTCTCCGTTTTTTTTTTTTTTTTGGTAAAAATGTGGTCTCCACTACGTTTAATTTATTTGTTTGAAAAATAATAAAAATACATATAATAATTGAGAACCCTGTGTTACAATACAAACTATACCGGACTATAACATCAGAACCATCAAAAGGCGAAGGAGAGGGCCCAATATCAGGGGGTCTTACCCCTTTCGATAGTTATGATGTTACAATTTGGTACAGTCCGGACCATAACACACTTTTTTTATAATAATTTGAATTAAATAAAATAATTTAAGTGTAATTTTTTGGAGTCTCTTAAAAATAAGTTAAATAAAATCATATAGATGAGAATGAGGTGGTATTTGGAGAAACGCATTGAGATATTCACCATTATAGATGCTTTTAGAGTCAGAATGATTGGGTGTCTTATTAAAAGAAAACA